TCCAAGCCTACTCCTAAATCTCAGGGTCTACATCCTTTCCGGCTACTGATATCAAGAGGCTACTTTTTCCCCTTTATTACATTTCAAGGAAAAGTGACCTGGAAAAAAATGATTCTTTTTAAGCAGTTTTTAAAACACCTTTTAAAACAGCGCCCCCTTCCCTGCCCCGCATTGTTTGTCACCAACTCCATACCTTGAGACTTTTTTTGGTAAAGTACTGTGAATAAACCACATTTGAGTACACCTTCCCTTAGGGCTTAAATGTTGATTGAAAGGTGCTCTTTTATTGATGGTGGTTCACTGCAGTGCTGATGGTACGGGTGCCAGCCAGGAATGGAGTTCCTAGTACTAGAGACTACTGTGCTTTTAATGCCCTGCCTGGCTTGTAGTCCACCATTTACTATTCAATGCAAAAGTCATTCACAGCATACCAAGTTTTCATTCCATTGCTCTTATATTTTATGGCTTCCAGGGGCTCTCTGAAAAGGAAGTAAGTGTAGCAGTAACAATGCTTTGGAGAAAACTGTGTGCCTGGCAACCTGTTTTAAAACATGCTTGTTCCACACAGAATGGATTTTGATCTAAAGTATTGTGGGAACTCATGTAGGCTGGGAATCCTCAGTATGCCGTCAAAAAAAAAAGGTTTTTTTAAATTCCAACCACCTCTTTCTATTAATGGAGAAGAAATGGTTTAACGGCTGCCCCTGGGGTAGCATAAAAGGTGGGATATATGAGGCATCATATATCTTGTCCTGGTGCCTTGGAATATATGTTTTCTTACATTGGGAATTTATTAGGAGCCAGGAATCTTTGACAAATGATTATGACGAGCCTTTTATTTGTCAAAGAACCACACATAGACCGTTGCAGTCAAGTCTGGTAAGTCAAGCCAGTGTTGTTAGGATAGAGATGCCCATGAGTCGTTGCTGGTGATTTTCATTTTGTCTTGTAAAAAATAACATAGGGGCACCTGGCCGGCTCAGTCGGTAGATCATGTGACTCTTGACCTCAGGGTTGTGGGTTCAGGCCTCACCTTGGGCTTGGAGCCTACTTAAAAAGAATATAGTAAAAAACTTTTTTGAAAAAAAGAGTGCTTCCGTTATTTGGGGGCATATGCATGCACGAGAGACATTTGCCATGATTTTCATTAACTGTAGATAGCCAGGTCTTAAAAAACATTTTTTTTTTTTTTAGGGAGTGACAAGGAGATGATCATATTTTTTTAAATCATTATTCATTTGTTTTAAAATAAGTGCTATCCAATACAACTTTCTGCAATGCAATGATGGAAATGATGGAAATGTTCTATAATCTGCACTGCCCAATATGACAGCCACCAGTCACACATGACTTTTTGTTAGGTAGTTAGTTAAGCGAGAGGGAGGAGGCATAAAGCAGATGCTGGCCACACCCTCAGAGCCATCCCCCAGGGTTAACGGCCACACTTTCAGAGCCACCTCTGAGAGCTAAGGGAACAGGAAAGGCCTAGCCCCACAGCTGACTCAAAAGCCACAAGGCGACTTCCACGAGCTGAGCATGTGCGCACAAGGTGCAGCTTGCCCTTAAGGTCACAGCAAAAGCTCATTAGAAACTCATAAATATATAATACACAAATAAATACAATTATAACAGGTGCATCATGGGTAGGCACTTGCGCAGAAGCCAAAATGCACTATAACCACCAGCTGTCAATCAAAGCCAAATTTGCATATGCAGAAAACAGGTTTAAAAGGGTGCAGCTAGAGCTTCTTGGGGCCATTACCACTTTTGCTCCAGCAGTGGCCCCCTTTCTTTCTTGAAAGTGTACTATACTTATCTAGTTAATAAACTCTATCTCCCCATTCTGGTCTCAGGTCTCCAATTCTTTGGTGCATCTGGGATAAGAACCAAGTGACCCGGTAACATAGTGAACACTTGAAGTGAGTGAGGAATGGAATTTCCAGTTCAATTTGATTTTAATTGATTGAAATTTAGATAGTTTCTGTGGCTTGTGGCTTCTATATTGGGCAGTACAGGTTTAAAATTTCCCCTCCACAAGTGGCGCCTGGGTGGCTCAGGCCGTTAAACCTCCAACTCTTGATTTTATCTCAGGTAATGATCTCAGGATTCATGAGTTAGAGCCCCCAGTTGGGCTCTGTGTTGGCAGCACTGAGGAGCCTACTGGGGATTCTCTCTCTCTCTCTCTCTCTCTCTCTCTCGTCCCTTCCCCTGCTTGCTTGTGCATGCTCACTCTCTCTCAAAATAAATAAACTTAAAAAAAAAACTTCCCCTCATCAAATATATCAAGATATACACAAATGAGTCCATATTCTGTGACATTTCATAGAATTTAACATGTAAGACCTGCATGTCTAATAATTTTCCCTCCTGAGAAACATGTGCATGGGTACAGAGAAGATTATTTAAAAAGATGTTTTATTGGCACATAGCTGCGCACTTTTTTTTTTTTTTAACTGTTGTCTGTGGCTGTTTTCCTGCTACAGTGGGAGTGCCTAGAAAGCCTTAAGATAGAGCTGTGATGTCTTGAATTAAGTGCAAATGTACCCAAATAAGTATATCTTATGACTTCTTTAAGTTTGTTGTGTGTGAAAGCAAAAAGAACCCCTAAGTCATATACGGCACAGAGTAGCACCTGCATTTTATGGAATGTGCGGGAGCCATTGCTATTCTGTGTGTGGTGATGATCTACGTTTTATTTCTAGCACTTGCTTTTTGCTGGCACGTGAATGCCCTAAAATCAGCACGTTTCACAGCAATGCCTATTTTGATGATTCTGTTCTTGAGGGCCATGGCTTATTTCATCGTCCTGCTTCTGGCCAGCGACACATGTGAAAGAAAATGAGTGAACCCACTCATTTGCCTGGGACGTGAATAAACTCAAGCTGAGTCTCGCTTTGTTAGGCTCAGCCTATGCCATTTTGATGTGTGGTCAGAGTTTGGTGTAGCCAGCCATCAGATAGAAATGAGAACCATTAGCTTACAAACAGATCCACCCAAGTCTGATGGCTAACGTGAGCAGGGAGTTACTCGGTACAAGAAACAATTCTGAAAATCATGCATTTGGCAGTTTTTATGACCTTATATTTCCACGACTTGTTGTTATAAATATGTAAATCCCATAAACAGCAATCACTTATATTTTTATACAGTCTCCAGAGCACATGTATGCATTCTCTTTCGGCCCTCATAACATTTTGGTGAGGTTGTAGGTATTGTTACTACTTTTTCCCAGACTCTCAGGAGTCAAGTGATCAGTCCAAAAGTATGTGGCTAATAAATAGTACAACCAGGGGTGTGAGGGGGGAGATGTGGGCCCACCTTACTCTTCCCTGGGCTCAGAAGTAGGGAAGGAAGCAGGTATAAAATCTGATGCCTTCTCACTTGTGGAGTCAGAGGACATGTGACTGCTGGCACATTGTAGCACAGTTTAGACTTGAGCTTGTGACCTGGGTTAGCATGATGGGGATTCTGGCCCCACCTTGAATGAGCTGTGTGCCAGATGAATCACTGCAACACCCTGACCTTCATTTCTTCTCCCAGAGAAAGTCGAGTGCAACTTCCAAATCCCTTTTTGTTGCACAGAACCAGGAAAGACTCTACATTTGTGTAATGAGATTGCATAGATAAGGAAGGGGCAGTTTCTGAAAAAACGTTCTTCAGTTATTCCTGTGTTTTCTTTACTGGAAACCCTCTTGTAACAGTAGAACTGATTTTCCTGATTTAAAATCTAAGTAGGAGTTTTCTTCTATTTCGTTAAGGATATGTTCATTAAATGTTTCTCTAACATGTCTTGTATCCAATTCTTTTTTTTTTTTTAAGTGTATTTATTTTCAAAGACAGAGTGAGGGAGGGACAGAGAGAGAGGGAGAGAGAATCCCAGGTAGGCTCCACGCTGTCAGCGCAGAGCCCATCTCAGGACTCCATCTCATGAAATGTGAGATCGTAACCTGAGCTGAAATTGAGAATTGGAAGCTTAAGCGACTGAGCCACCCAGGCTGCTCTCTTCTGCCAGTTCTTAATCTTTTATCTCCTGTCCATACTCTAGCCCCGCCCCTGCAGCCTTTCCAGTATTTTGTTCAAAAGTCATGGAGGAGAGTGGGCTTGTCTTTCACATTTTTGTTTATGTATTTATTGATACTTGCTCAATATATTTAGAGTACATCTTTGTTTCCTAACCTGTCAGCATAGGGTTTCTTCAGTTGTTCCCTTTCCTCCTTAAACAAACAAACAAAAAGTGGATTTTCACCTGTTATGGAATTGAGATTTCTATTGCTATACGTCAGCAAAAAAAGTTGGTCAAGGTCAGGATTGGGTCACACATAAAATACTTCCTGGCAACGTCATCTCCATAGATCAGTAGAACTCTTGTGGAGTTGATCTACTTGCTGACTTATTTGGAACCGAACGAGAGGAACCCCACCCTGAGCTCATGGCTCAAAACAGAACTACAATTTCAGGGCTATCTCCTGGAGAAGGTGCACTTCTGAGGGAACCCAACATGGCAATATCTATGTCAGTAATTAGTCCTGTTTTGAATACTACATGTGACTCGAGGGAGTAGGAACATTCCATAAAGTTTCTAATATGAAAATAGCATAATTGTGCAAATTATTTCCCAAATCCTTGGATGTCTGAGAATGTTGGAATGGAAAACTTTCATGCTACTGATCTTTATTAGCAGTCTTCCGAAGGTTATGAATGGTAATTTAAGTTGAAATGATTTTATCAATTTTCTGAATAAGTTACCTCCAACAAGATGAAAGCAGGTGGTCAGCTCATCTGACAAAAGGAGATCACCGTGTGCAGTCGAACCAACCTCTTTCTGTAGTGCCTAGAAAGTGACAGTAGAATATTTCTTAGCATTTTCTCTGAATGGGGATTAATTATGGAAAGTGTTCAGAATTGGAAATAGAATAATGGTCCAGGGCTGTTTTTTGTTTTGTTTTTTGTTTTTTGTTTTTTTTTTACACCTTGCTAAATTAGTTCCTCTTTTGATCTAGTGATAGATACAGCGATGCCAGTGATGACAGCTTTTCAGAGCCAAGAATAGCTGAGTTGGAAATAAGCTGAAACTAATACATGACCTGGAATGATCAGGACTTCCTGAGAGGGTAAGATGGAATCCTCAAGTATTATCTGTTGGTCTTACAGATAAGCTGTTGTCCCGTGGAGAAAGTAGCATCGTAGGACTTGCCTTGTAGGATTTTGCTCTCTCAGGATGCTCTTATTTGACTAACATAGGTAGCAAACAGGAGCATCCCAGGGCATAGTTAGGATAGGCCTAACAGTCAATCATGCTTTGGGGAAACTGGGATGCACCAGAGAAAGCTCTGGTGAAAATGGTTAGCAGGGAGAAAATGGAATGCACCCGGGGCCAGGAACAAATATGTAAGTGCACTTACAAATGTGTGTCTGGGGGCGATAGTGGTTAGAGTAGTAATAAGTCAGCAAACTTGTTCTGTAAAAGGCCAGATAGTAAATATTTTAGGATTTGTGGGCCGTGCAGTCTCTGTTGCAACTATTCCACGCTGCCATTCTAGAGGGAGAGCAAGCCTAGACAATACATAAATGAAGGGGTGTGGCTTTCCCAATAAAACTTTATTTATAAAAACAGTTTGCTGATCCCTCGTTTAGGTCCTTCAGGGAAAAGCAGATTTCCTTGGATTTGTATAAAATAAAATTGTATTTTATTTCTTTGTAGGAAGATGCCAGAGACCGGGTTGGCTTCTGAGGACAGCTTATTTTCTCCATGGCTCTTTTAGGCTTTATTAGGGAGGATCGCAGTCTGGATAGCTTTATTAAACTCAGGCTCAGAGGCAGATATTGCCTGGGACAAGTCTAGTGTTATGGCAGGCCTTGAAGTGAATGAGCAGCTTCCCTTAGCAGGACAGAAGCTTCTGAAAAGATAATAAAGAGTTAATTGCTCTAGTATGAGCTCTCTTCATATTTCACTTTGGGGTGGAATATTCATGTTCACTAGGGAAAGCATATCTCTCTCTGTTTAGGTTTACCTCAAACATGGAGACCTTTAGTAGCGAACCAAAATGGTACAAAGGCTAGTTGGAGGTATTTTAAGACTTACATTATTCAGTTTCTGATGTTGCTAATACTTATATTCTTTCTTTCTTTCTTTCTTTCTTTCTTTCTTTCTTTCTTTCTTTCTTTCTTTCTTTCTTTCTTTTTTTAGGCTCTGATGTAATTGAAGCCAGGATGAATGAACTCTCTGAGGAAGTCACCATACTCTTAAAGATTTGCTCTGTTTTCCACCAAACATGGATGTAAAGCCTCAAAGGGGATCTAATTATAGATGAACCAGAACCAAAGGGCTAGTTTCCGTTTCACTCCAGAGGCAGCCTTTGGTTCTCACAAATTTCTGTAGCCAATTAAACTTTTCCCAATGACCTCATGGGGGAGAAAGTGTGTTTGTGTTTTGTCTGGCGAGTGGTGCTGTTCTGGCAGGGAGCAAGGATCCAGGTAACCCGTCCTTCACTGTGATGTAGGAGAAGGCGGACAGGGCACATGCGATAGTGATTTCGAGTAAAAATGGAGTCATTCTGTGAGCTGGAACTCAACCACAAGTTTGGGTGCGGCCCAAGTTTCTTTCAGTTTGTCACCCTGCTTATTTTTAGTTACAAATAAAATTAAACAAGTCCAAGACTAGTCATGGCAAGTAAGGCAGGCGGGCAGAATTTAAGGGGGAATAAAAAATATATATGTATAGATTAATTGAGCTGAAATTCACATAACCTAGAATTTACCAATTTAAAGTGAACAGTTGAAGGGTATCAAGTATGCTCCTGTTCGATGTCCTTGAGAGGACAGCTGTTGCGCACTGGAGCTTTCTGATACTGATTTAAATATTTTAACTGCTCAGTTAACTTTCCTTGTGTATGGTTGTCTTTGGCCCTTTAACTTTTTCCTCTTTGTGCTGTGAGGTGTTACAGCGTTATTTTGTAAGACACTACAGAAAATTCATCCTGCAAACACAGGCAGAAGTGAAAGGAGTAATTCTGGTAAATAAAAATATTAAAGAGCTTTAGGGCTCCACTTGTGAAAATTACAGCTTGAAGATCACAAGAGGCTCCAAATGAAAAGCCCACAAGGTAGGTTGAAAGCCGGAATGGGCCTCATAGAAAGCGGGACTTAAGCACGGGGCGGGGCAGACTTTAACATCACAAAGGGGCGGGTAGTCTGGCTGAAATGGAAGTTTTCAATTGTGATGATTATGATTTCTAAAGTCACTTATTACTGAGTGCTCTCACTGGGGGTTAATGATGCATGTAAATAGGACCGGAAGTAGGGCGCTTAAAAACCATAAACTAGTCTTTCTGTTGTTGCTCCGTGAGGTTTTTCTCTTTTGGAGACACTCCTTGAACCTGGAATCCGTTGAAGGCTTGGTGGTAGGTAGTAGTAGCAGAGCAGTTGTGGGACCTGAACACATAGGAAGTTATTATAAATCGTTCATTTAAGAAATCTGTCTTGAACCCCCAGCATGAGCCACACATGGTGTCAGGTGCTGGGGGAAATGAAGGCGAGCAGAATTTGCCCCTGTAGGGGCCCAGGGCAGGCTGCCCCAAGATGGGCCACTTTGGCATAAAGATTATTTCTAGTGGAAAGTAATCCAAACCCAGCAGATGTGGGAAAAGCTCTCTGCTTCCCCTCAACTTCCAAAATTCACATTGGAGAGAAGAGCGCTGTTAACAGAGACCCCCTTTTACCTAAAAACCTTATCTGCATAATAGGGCAACCTTGTTTTTCAAAACATCTCCTTTTCCTTCCCGCTAATGGTCTTTCTCCCCTTTGTGTCCTAAGGCCCCTCCTCCTTTCCTTAGCTAAACTTCAAGTTGCCTCCTTATCTTTGGCATTTCCATGTCTGTGTGGATTCTCCTTACGTATGCTATTAAATTTGATTTATTCCTGTCAATCTGTCTCATGTCAGTTCGATTCTTAGTCTGGCTAGAAGGACCTTGAAGGGCACAGGAAGGTCTTCCTCCCCAACACCCCCAAAATATGTCTCATTGGTATAAGGATTATTTTAGGCTGATTTTAAAGAAACAGCAGACATAGGAAAAGCTCTGAAAACTGAGTAATAGTTATCTTTTGTGTACTGGAGGTATACAATGTTAGTAAACTGTTTGTTTTTCTCCTATTAATCTGTCTTTTATTACAGGGGCTGTCTTCCAAACCAGGCCTTGATGGAAATATAACTTGAACTGGGTGAATTGCTTTTTGCCACCCAGCTTTAGTTTTTAAGGTTCATGTCCATGAAGACCTCTAAAACATGGTGGCAAATCTATGGATGCCATTCCGTTTTCTCTCTTCCGAATGGGGCTCCCTTTCCATCCTGGTAGCTTCCTTGGTACTACCTTCTCCTCTGAGAAGAATACTGGTGACAAGTTGGGGAATCCAGGTGGCACTGTGTGGTGATGTAGTGCCTTATTGTCAAGTTTGAAACTTCTTATCTTTTCCTTGAACAAGAAATTGTCTTGAAAATAGATGTATTGCTTTGATTCGTTTTCCCTGGGAGGGACTATGCTTTCAGTTAATACTCTGGGAGCATTCGATATTGAGAGTAAGATAAAAACCTAGAACATGGGAGCACCTGGGTGGCTCAGTCGGTTAAGCATCTGACTCTTGGTCCCAGCTCAGGTCACGAACTCGCAGTTTGTGAGTTTAAGTCGCACTTTGGGCTCCGCGCTGACAGCGCGGAGCCTGCTTGGATTTCTCTCGCTCCCTGTCTCTGCCACTCCTCTGCTCACTCTCTCTGTCTTTCTCTCTCAAAATAAGTAAATAAACTCAAAAAAATTTTTTTAATTAAAAAAAAAAGAATGAAGAAGGAAAAAGCATGATTGCACTTTCTTTGTTGTTCAAAGGAAGCACTATCTAAAGCAGGGGGTGGCAAACTATAGGTGTAGGCTAAATCCCAATCTATTTTTGTCAATAAAGTTTTATTGGCACATAGCTGCACACACTTTTTTTTTTTTTAACTGTTGTCTGTGGCTGTTTTCCTGCTACAGTGACAGAGCTGAGTAGTTGTTGGAGACCCGTAAAGCCTAAAACATTTACTATCTGGTGCTTCACAGAACCAATTTGTTGACTGTTATCTAAAAGGAGTGCTGCGAGAAAACTTCTTTACAAGTCTCTGATGGAGTCGCAGCTTTCAAAATCTTTTTTCTGTATAGTGAAGATACGTTCTTTCAAACATTTTAAAAGAATTCCTGACATGAAGTTCCACGTTGAAAGACTACAGAAAAATCTCTCTTAAGCTTCCGTCTTCAGCCACCTTGTTCCCTTCCCTAGAGGCTATTGTATCAAATGGTTCTGGGTCCTTCCTGCTACATACCATGCAGAGAGGATTGTTTCACCATAATGTTTAAGCAGCATTCTTATTTCAGAGGAAACTATATTTCTCTATTTAGTGGAAAAAGAATAATTATGAAATACCAAGAAACGTACAAGGGAAAGGTCAGTACTCGGTTCAGCTTGTGACAGGTATTGTGCACACACTGTGGGCCCAGCCCTGAACTGATGCAGCAGACAATATGGAAGACCTATAAGATGTGGTCCAGCTGGGCGAGGGCCTAATACAGTGCTTGAACCGAATCCTGAAGGGAGAGTAGGAGTTGACCAGGTGCATCTTTGTTATCAACATTAGCGGGACCAATCATTGGCTACCCCAAACATTTCCTAAGGATGCTCCTGAGACACAGTGTGAGCCCACTTCCTCAAATAACACTGCTCAGATTTGGAGCATCCTGAAAATTGTGAGTCATTGTGAGGCCACTAACAGGGCAGAGATGCTTTGGTGGTGAGAAACCCAGCTTCCCACCCCAGGTTTTAGAAGAACTCCACGACCTTTTTTCTCTTCCCTTCTCTACTCCAGTTGCCTATAGACCAGCGCTATGCCAAAAATAAAACATGAAAAAATAAAATAAAATAAAATGTGAGCCACATGTATTATTTGAAATTTCCTAGCAGCCATATTCAAAAGTAGAAGCAAGTGAAATTAATTTTAGTTGCATAATATTATATAAACTTTAGTAGTATATTATATTATACTACTAAATATATTAATTACACAGCACAGCTCAAGATTCTATATAAAGAGGTTGTACAGATCTACCACTCGCTCATGGCAGAATCCCTGGGTATATGCCACAGAGCACAAGTATATATATTAATATCTCAATGCATCTCATGTTGGGTTATGCATATTTTTGTTGGGGTGCAAAGGGGTTCAGGAAGGCTCCCCCAGAATGTGCCACTTTGGCCCGTGGATTATTTTGAACTGAAGTCACTTGAGACCCTACAGACTCCAGAGGAACTTTTGTCCCTCCCTTAACTACACAGAATAATCTAAATTGGGGGGGAGGTCTTTCCCAGAATAAGGGTTATTAACAGAGATAAGTTTTATCTGAGTGACCCAGGTGTCTGGCAGGGCAAACATCTAATTAGCAAACATCTGCTCTTATTGCCCTGTGAAGTGCATTCCTTTCCTCTGAAGTCTCAGAACCCTACCCCTTCTCCTTAGTTCAGGGTCACATACAGACCTCATTTTGTCTGACCGTCTTTAGCAATTTCCATTGTCTATGTGGGCTCCCTGAATGTATGTCTATTAAGTTTGGCTTTCTCCTGTTAATTTGACTTATGTCAATTTGATTCTTAGTCCAGCCAGAAGGACCTTTGAGGGGACAGGAATTCCTGCTCCCCAACAAGGTGAAACCAGTATAGTGCAGTCATGTGTGAGACTCACTATAGGATTTGCTATTCTGCCTTCTTGCTGTGTTTTTTGTTGTTGTTTGTTTGTTTTGGGGTTTTTTTTGGTGGCTCCCCAGGTGCTCTAGCCCCCCTACCTTTGCCTCCAGATTTTGAGAAAGTGCTTCCTTCTCTCTTCCTTAGAATTCTCCAGACGCCATATAGAGTTCTTTTTCTTTTCTTTTTTCTTTAAAATTAGGTAGCTAACAGTGCTGCAATATTGGATTTCAGGAGTGGAATTTGGTGACTCATCACTTACATACAACACCCAGTGCTCATCACAAGTGCCCTCCTTAGTACCTGTCACCCATCTAGTCCATCCTCCACCTGTCTCCCTTCATCTATTCTCAGTTTGCTCTTTATCATTTAGAGTCTCTTGTGGTTCAAGGGCTCAGTTGGTTAAGGATCTGACTCTTGGTTTGGCTCAGGTCACGATCTCACAGTTTGAGAGTTTGAGCCCCACATCGGGCTCTGTGCTAACATTGCAATGTTAGTGCAGAGCCTGCTTGGGATTCTTTCTCTCCCCCCCCCCACCCCCACCCCTCCTGCTCTCTCTCTCTCTCTCAAAATAAATAAACTAAATAAATAAGAGTCTCTTGTGGTGTGTTTCCCTCTTTCCTCTCTGCTTCCCATATGTTTATCTGTTTTGTT